CCTTCTGGGAGGCAAGTCCATCACCCTCAGCCTTCCCAGAGAGCTGGGGAAGCAGAGAGAGTCCAGGACAGCAGGAGACACACCCAACAGGGCTGCAGTCTGCTGAGGCAAGAGAGGAAAATCACAGCAGAGCAGGGACGAGGGGCTAAGAGCTCTGGCTTTGGAGTCTAATAACTTGGGTTCAAATTCCCTTCCAGCTCTTGCTGGCTGTGTGACCTTGATGTGTTCCATGCCCTGAGCCTCACCTGCCGCATCTATAACACGAGACTATCCATAAAACCTACCTCCTGGGTTGTTACAGATTACAGGGGGTAGCAGGGTAGAGCTCTTACAGTGCTGGACACAGTACCCAGCATTACTAGCATTTGCCTGGAGGGTCTGAGAAAGGAGAGATGTCACATAAGTGAATGCAGCACCTGATACACTCCAAACACCAGCCTGCATGTGCATCATTTCCTAAACTGCACTATGTATTTCCTGCCTCCTTGAACAAAGTAACTGAAATGTAATCTCTTCCCAGTAATTCAGAATTAACACTGCCAGATGATCACATCCTGCCACAACACAGCATGCCTGTAGAAGTGACTGGATACAAATGGGACTATTTGTCCAAACGGGAAATGGCTCAACCCAAGGCGGCTGTTCTGCAGTGCCCGTATCAGCTTTTTTCCAGATTGCTGGGCTCCTCCCTCAAGGCCTCAGTTACTCTTCTCACTACTCTCAGCAGGCCTGGCCCAACCCAGCACCACCTCCTGCAATCACCACCACCGTATGGTTTGAGCTGAGAAACCAGATAAACAAGCCTGTTACACACATGTGTAAAGTAAGAGTTCATAGTTCCCCTGAGAGGAGCTACTCTTCTGCACAGAGGAAATCTTCGGTCAGACTCTCCGAGTTAGCTACCCAGTGCCTTTCACTCACTCCCCACCTCTCAGCCTCATCTCAGAGAGCTGAGGTTTTAGGGGTCACACCTCCCAGAAAAGTGACTATAAAATGTCATCTGGCGTGACTTCCAACATAGACAGTGCTTCAAGATGCTTGGTTTCTTTGCCCGGCCAGTGTGGCTCAGTGGATTGAGCATTGTCCCATGGTCTGAGAGGTCTCAGTTTGATCCCCAGTCAGGGCACATGCCCGGGATGCAGGCTCGATCCTCAGTAGGGGGAATGCAGGAGGCAGCCGATCAATGTTTCTCTCTCACATCGATGATTCTATCTCTCCCCCTTCCTCTCACTCTAAAAAAAAATCAATAAAAACATACTTTTTCAACCCTGGCCGGTTTGGCTCAGCGGTTGGAGCGTCAGCCTGCGGTACAGAGAGACCCGGGTTCGGTTCCCGCTAAGGGCACGTACCTCGGTTGCAGTTTGTCCCCGGCCCTGGTTGGTCGTGCGGGTGGCAGCCACTTGATGTGTCCCTTTCACGTCAATGTTTCTCTCTCTCTCCCTCCCTTCCGCTCTATCTGAACAAAAAATGGAAAAATGTCCTCGGGTGAGGATAAAAAAACAAACAAACATACTTTTTCAAAAGATGTTTGGTTTTTTAGATACATGTAAAATAACATAATAACATACAAAATTATAAATAATAAAAATATATCATTGAAATAATTGCCAACCTCCTTTAATATTTTTCTAGAAAATAGAGAGATTTCAGCTGAGTTGGATTAAAGTCTCTGACACCCTGAGTTTCTTTCTCCAGCCTGTGAGGACCACTCTGAAGACGACAGGGAGTCATCTGAGGACAGTCACCTGTGGGTGGCCTCTGAAAGACAGCCGGTGTTTCCCCATCACAGGGTTTCTCCTCTGTGTGACGCTCACTCAGCTCACCTGCTCGTTCCTAGGCGTCTTTATTCTGCAGTCACTGTGCCCCGCTCCCCCAGCAGACATTTGCAAAGTCCCATGATGTGCCAGGCACTAGGAGGGCACCGGAAGTCCTTGCCTTCATGAGCCCCATCCTGCAAGGGAAGTAGACCGGTAGCAGTGGTCAGAACTACCTCGTGACCAGAATGTAGCAGGTACCAAGTCCCTGAGCACTCAGAGAAGAGAGTGATCAACGCTTCCCAGGTGGGAAAGGGGAAAGCTTTACCAAAGAGCTCCGAATGCCAAAAAGTTCTGAGAAGGAAGCGTATTCCTGGCAGAGGAAACAGCTTGTGCAAAGGCACTGAGGCATAAACATTCGCAGCTTGTTTGGAGCTGAGAGAGGGCAGAGGCTGAGGCCAGAGTCCAACCACCATCATAGAGACAGTCCGAGCAGGACCAGAAAAGGATGCGGGAATCCCCTCGGGTCCCTTACCTATCGGCTGGAGCTGACTGACCCCAGGAGAACCCAGTCCTGCTTGAAGATTCAGAACTCAAGATTCCACATCAGCTTCCACGCCAGGTCCACCCTAGGCGCAGGCAGATCTTCCAGAGCCTGTGACCGCCTGCTGAAGGCAGCACTAGCTTCAGGCCGTGAGTGCACGTGTCCATAGAGCAGCTGGTCCCCTGGCCAAAAGGTTAAAAATAACCTCGGTAGATTTCCGGACCAGACTCTGAGGCATTCAAACCAAAAAGACTAGAATATTTGAACAGTTGATGGGAACTAAAATATCAACAGGCTCCTCCAGCTTGTGGAGCACTTTGCCCAATGATTCAGCAAAAGATGTTTGCTGAGCACCTGCCAGACACCGGAAGATAGACAGCAGGGAGTAAGACACCAACTCTGAGACACACCATGGTTCATCTTTGTGGAGCTTTAAAAAGATGGCTCTGTATACACTCGCCGGGAAGCTCCTAAGATATATTAAGTGGAAAAAGCAAATTGCAGAACGACACAGAGGATCTCAGATGTACTAAACTTAAAAGAATGTGCCCTGGCCGGTTTGGCTCAGCGGTTGGAGCGTCAGCCTGCGGTCCGGAGAGACCCGGGTTCGGTTCCCACTAAGGGCATGTACTTTGGTTGCAGTTTGTCCCCGGCCCTGGTTGGTCGTGCGGGTGGCAGCCACTCGATGTGTTCCCTCATATCGATGTTTCTCTCTCTCTCTCTTCCTCTCTCTCCCTCCCGCTCTATCTGAACAAAAAATGGAAAAATGTCCTCGGGTGAGGATAAAAAAAAAGAAAAGAATGTGTGGTGTGCCAGATAAGTGCATGGCCAAAGAATTGGCATACCTCGTAAAAATCCCATGCAGTAGTATCATCGACTCTGTCTTGCAGATAAAATTATAAAATTCTGTGAGGTTAGGTAACGTGACCATATGGCTCATAAACTGTGGAACCAGGTTATAATAATAACAACCACTAAAATTTATATAGCACATTTTTTAAAAGAACTGAACTCATTCATTCGTCCATCCATCCATCAACAAATATGAACTGAATGTCTACAGTGTACCTGGCATCACTCCTATCTCTGGAGATAAAATGACGAAAAATACAGATGAAGTTCCTGTCCTCATGGCACTTACATTCAGGGGTCGGTCACCTCTGGGATGGAAATGGTAGAGGGTGGGGGTCGGGGAGATGAAAGAAAATATTAGGCTTGTCTATATTGTTAGAATTTTTCATAATAGGAATTAACCTAGTTGAATAATTAAAATTTATTTGTAATATTTTCATTGAAAAGGTACCTTGGGCTTTGAGGATATTTCATCTTCAAGCCTAGGGCCCAACTGCTAAAAGTTTATTTCTAATAACTTTTGTTTTAATTACGATAACAGTAATGTGCATTCAGAAAAGTAAAATAGAGAGCTGCCACTTAGGGGGACTTGGCTGTGCACCAGCCACTACGCTAACCCTTTCCCTCTCATCGTCTTGTCTGATCCTCATGACTGCACTAGGAAGTGCCCATTTTCTAGACCAGTTCTCGACCAGGGGCAATCCTGCCCCCCCAGGGATATGTGACAAAGTCTGGAGAGAGGGGGAGAGAGAGAAAAACACACATATATAGACATATATATATATAATTTTTTTAAATCCTCACCCAAGGATATTTTTCCATGTGTTTTCAGAAAGAGGGAGAGAGGGAGGGGACCAAACCACAACCGAGGTACATGCCTTTGACCAGAATCAAAACCCCGTCTCTCTGATCCGCGGGCTGACGCTCTAACCACTGAGCAAACTGGCCAGGGCCTGAAAATATTTCTGCTTGTCACACTGCGGGAAAGGAAGCGTTGCTATTCTCACCCAATGGATAGAGTCCACGGATGCTGCTGAACATCCCACAATGTACAGATCAGCTCCAGAACAAAGAATTCTCTTTCTTTATGGTGCTGAGGTTAAGAAACCCTGTTATAAATGAAGACACCGAGGTTCAAAAGAATACCTGCCCAAGGTCACACAGCTGGTTGATTACAACAGTAGCCACACAGACCTGTGACTATGTTAACTTACATGGCAAAGGGAATTAAAAATGCAGATGGAATTAAGTTCTGATCAGCTGATTTTAAAATAGAGAGGTTATCCTAAATTATGAGCACAATGTCATCACAATGGTCCTTAAAAGTGGAAGAGGGGCCCTGGCCAGTTTGCTAAGTGGTTAGAGCGTCGGCCCGCAGACCAGTGAATTTTGGGTTCAATTCCGGTCAAGGGCCCTAGTCGGGGTCATGCGAGGCAACCAGATGATGTGTCTCTATCATGACGATGTTTCTCTCTCTCTCTCTCACCCTCCCTCCCTCCCTCCCTGCCTCCTACTTGGTCTGAAAATAAATGGAAAAATATCCTTGGGTGAGGATTAAAAAACAAAAAGTGGAAGAGGGAAGCAGAAGAAAAAACGAGATGGCAGCGTAAGAAGGTAAGACGGACCTAGTTCGCCGACCTGGCTTTGAAGGGGGGGCAGGGGGACATGAGTCAAAGGAACACAGGCGGCCTCTAGAAACTGGAAAAGGCGAGGAAACAGATTCTCCCCTAGAGCTTCCAGAAAGGAACCAGCCCTGCAGACAGACACCTGATTTCAGCCCAGAGAGACCCACTGCAGACTTCTGACCTCCAGAGAGGTAAGAAAATAAGTGTGCGTTGTTTTAAGCCACTATGTTGGTGGTCATTTATCACAGCAGCCAGGGAAAACCAATTAGCATCCCACCAAAACATCATCACCTGTTTGCTGCTCCGTCTGCCCGGTTAGAGTGTGCGCTCCAGGAGCTCCGGAGAACGGCAGTCTTACCACTCAGTCCCAGCCTTGATGGTGAACAAATAAACTTTAGAGCTAGAAAGAGCCAAGAAAACACTTAGGCCATCCAATTACTTGAAATGAGAGAAAACGGAGGTCCAGAGAAGGGGACTGACGTGCTCAAAGCTGCTTGACTTACACCAGCCTAGGCCACCACTCTGCCTTCTTTCTGGTCACTGAGCCCCAGAAGTCCCAGGACAGATGCTACTGTCGACTCTCCATCATGGACACGCACCATCAGGGCACAAGAAATCCCTGGGGACAGCTAGGGAAATGTACACACGAGTCAGGTAAGACCAGGTAAGACCAGCAGACGTCTAAAATGACTTGAGCTATCTTGAAAACGCTCATCCCAACAGAGCAGCTGACCCATCCGCACCCAGGACCAGCAGCTGCCTGATCAGCCGGAGTGGCTGATCCATCTGAAGCTTCGGAGAGGTCCACAGCACCTAGCTGATGGCCAACGCGAGGCTCGCTTTCAAGAAGCTCAGCATTTCACACGTCCGGCCAGAGCCAAAGCTTCAGGCTCCCTGGGAAAAGGGTACTTCATCCAGAAGACATCTTTTTCCACCTGTCAGAGAAGGGTCGTCATAGGCAAATGCCATTAGGAAAAAAAAGACACTTAACTCTGGACCTGCCAGAACACGATCGTAGATTCACGTGAATACGTATTACCACATGTATGAAGTAAAAGGCACCCCCTCAGCAGGGCACAACCCGTAGAACACAGCAGCCCTGCCTGGCTCTCTGGCCTCTTCCCCTTCACTGACCTCATCTTCCCCCCATCCCAGCCCTCAGGCCCACTGGGAAACAGTCTTGACCTCACAGTTCACCATTTATGCATAATCCCCGACTTGGGGCCCCGGTTTGAGTTCATTCCACTTGCAGGCAGCAGGGCTTGAGGGTGAGCAAGTCTGCGGGTCCCATTCAGCAAAGCACGTGCGGGGGCGGGGAGGCAGGACGCGGTGAATTCTGACACAGTGAATGTCCACGGCCAGGAGATGGGCCAGGCCGGGTGGTGGCTCACAGCAGGCCTCGGAGAAATCCCACCCCCAGCTGGCTGGGAGACGACGCTGGGTAGGTACACTCTTTCTGCCTTCCGAAACTTCTTTTCCTTTTCGTGAAACGGGTGTCACTATAGGACCGCTGGGAGGATTTAAGAAACGATCTGCGCTCATGCTGTGTGCCTGAGAGCATTGCTATTACTATGATTATCAGCACCATCAAACCCGGGAGACCTGCCTCCGACTGCCAGCTTCCAGGCATATCCTGCTTTAAACAAAATGGGGACGATCCAGGTCTCTAAAAGCAAACTCTGTTCTGGGGAGGAGGCACGGTGTGCTACAGAGTCCTCCCTGTATCCAGGAACCCACCACTGGATACACAGACAAATCCAGACCGTTTTGACATGGTTTTGTCTGGGGGACAAGCTCTGACGCAGGGTGGAACGTGCCCAGTTTTGCCCAAGGCAGCTCCCTCTCCTGTCTCCTCCAGCCCCCGCTGCCTCTCCAATGTGTCCCCAGAAGCCCCATGGCCAAAGGATGACCAGGCGCATGGAGTAGGCCCCGCCTTGCAGGGAGAAGGTCACAGGTTTCCACGTGAGCCCTCCTGCCCGTGAGCTGTGCGGCCTGCCCCAGCTGTAACACGAGGCCGATCACGGTACCTGCCTCACGTGGCCGTCATGCCGAGGCCCACAAGCCAGTGCTGGGAAGCACCTGGTCTGCTGATGGGCCGTCGCTATCACTCCCACCAGCTGGGAGGCCTTAGCCAGGCAGGGCCCCGTGAGAGAGGAGACCAGGAAAAGCCCTGTTCTCAGTTCTCTGATTTCCTTCCTGCCCTTGTCCACACACACAATTCCGACCTGACTGTCACCTCCCTCTGGACAGAATAGTGCATCCTACCTTTTTGACAGAAGCACCAAACTGCATTTTTTTCCATATGACTGAGCACTTCAATTAGAATGAATTCAGCTGTAGGTCAAAGAAAACCAGACAGTGGCTGGTTGATAAACAACGAAGATGTTTATCTTGTCACAAGTCACCAAGTCATCAAGGGAAATGTCCCCAAGGTTAGCCAACACCACTGTGCCAGTTTTTTGTCCTTAACACTTGCCCCTTGGGGTGGCCTCAGCTCTACAACCTGCTGGTGGCCAGAAGAATGTGAGATGGTTTGTTTGCTGTTTTTTTTCGTTTTCAACAAGGGAGCAAACTCCCTCCCAGGATCCTCCTAACACACCTCCCCTCATATATCAGGGACCAGGACAGGGTCACGAGCCCTCTCCTAACCCAACCCTTGCCCAGGGGGATGGGAGGTTTCTGCTGCCTGCCACCTGTCACAGCTCATCCCTGAGGCTGAGGGAGAGGACTCACTGGAACAAGAGTAAGCAAGAAAAAGCCCAGCCGGTGTGGCTCAGTGGTTGAGCATCGACCCGTGCACCAAGAGGTTACTGATTTGATTCCCAGTCAGGGCACATGCCCAGGTTGTGGGCCCGATCCCTAGAGTGGGAGACACACGGGAAGCAGTTAATTGATGTTCCATCTCATCGATGTTCCATCTCATCGATGTTTCTATCTCTCTCTCCCTCTCCCTTCCTCTCTCTAGAATCAATAAAGGAAAAATAATTTTTTTTTAATAAGAAGGAGAAAGTGGCTGCCACTTAACACAATGAGCCCCTGGCTGATGACAGGAAGGAGCTGGGACCCAGAGTGGTTAAGTCCCTCCTTCAAGGCCACATGCAACTTTGCAGAGGGCCCAGGAAGAAAACCCAGCCACCAGCCCAACAAGCTCCCGCCACTTCACCACGTGCCTTCCCAACCGACTGTGGCCTACGCTAAGCCCCCAGACAGGAGCACCGTTTCCAGGACTTTCTGAGCTTGGCCAGAGACATGATATGGACAACGTCAACACTGTTACAGAAGAGTCCTGAATGTGCCCAGAGGCACCTCACCCGCATCCAAGCCCCACGGCTGGGGAGCTGAACCACTTCCTGCCCCTCGAAAGAGCTTGGCAGGAAAGTCAGCGGGAACCCAGAGTCTGACAAACAGCATCTCTGTAGCTGCCTGGACACCTGCCAAGCTGCTTCATTCCCCAGGGCTGACCTCATGTTTCTGAAGAGCCTCAAGACGCCTGAGGGCTCTGCTGCCTCTCCTGGTTCAGCTCTGCCGCCAGCAAAGGAAATGGCCCGGGCTGGGGGCCACGCTGGGGGCCCGCGGAGAAGTGGGGACACAGAGCCCAGCGGCCCTCCCTACCACCCGCCCCTGCTCTGCCAGAGCCTTCTGCCCATGCCCACCGGCCCATTCCAGAGGGAGCTGAACAACACTCTCACCTCTATGATGAGACCCTTCCTGATCTGTCTTCCTGCTCCACCAATCCGAGGGAGTCCCTGGAAGACACTTGCATACCCTGGCTACTTCTTTCTGTTTTGTTTCAGACTTCTGGAAAGGGAAGAAAAGCAGACTTCATGGGAGGTGCTCAGAACATGTCTGAAGTCAGTTCTCAAAGAGAGCTGGAGAGCTCATGGCCAGGCCGCAGCCTATGGTTGGTGGCAAAACTAACTGTATAATTTAACCCAGAGCTGACCAGGCACCCACCCTGGCCTTCCTATGGCCACCTAGTGCACTGAGGCCAGCATGTGCCTGAAAACAGAAGCCTTCATGCACTTTAGGCTCTACTTCCAGATATTCTTTCTGGGTCAAAGACCTACTGGCATCTGACAGTGGACAAGGCCAAGAGCAGACAAGGTAAGCAGCCTTTGGAAACAGCACAGAGCCAGGCCCATAGGACACAAGAGGTCCCTTCCACCCCTTTGCAGGGCATCTCCTGGCGATCGTCGCTACCCACCCACCCAGCCAGCCTGCAGCTCTGAATCAAGGCATTTGTTCTTATTCATGTGCACGTAAAGGTTTTTATTCCCCTTGTAAAACCACAGGCTGACAACTTGTGGGAGAAGGGAGAAACCTCACTTTTTGCCATTCTCTTTGGACTGACCAAGGGGGATCAGACAGCAGCTGGCGGTTTTAAACTTTCCTTGCAGAAGTTGTCCTCAGAACAGTGGTTCCCACTCCTCAGAGCTTGCAACGTCTGCATACCTTGAAGTATGCAGGCTGCAGGGCTGTGCGAACAGAGTGGAATTTTCCATTTATAGAATAATAACCTTCATACCACTCTGGGGGCCTCGTTCTCGTGGTAAGAGCTCCGAGTTGTGTCAGCAAACCTGCCATGCTTCTGCGGGAGCCCCACGCCTTACGGGCTCTTTTATTTATTTTTGGTGGGAGAAGGGGAGGAAATAAAGGAATGACTTTTTCATTTGGGTGCCAACACAAACTTGAAAAGGAACTGGGTTGGCAAGTGCAGAATATTACTGCCTGGTTTCAGGACTTAAATCAAGCTTTAGGGAGTAGGAGGTGAGGAAGAGACTAAGAAAACATATCGTCAATCCCTCACATGGACAGGTGGCCAGAAAAAGCCTAACATTACTGCCTCAAGTTCTTCCCTGTGCCTGCCCCTAGCCCCTGAGGGCAGCAGCCCTTGCCAAAGGCAGGGTCCTATCTTCCAGTGTCCCCTGTGTTCTCCACTTGATTTCTGCTGGTGCACACATGGACTCCTCGTGGGAAACACCTTCAGGGTCCAAGGTAAAGCAGGAAGGCCACCAAGCCAGACATGATGGGGCCCAGGTCCTCATTCTTGCTGGTACATATTTACCGTGTGACCTAAACGAAGGCCTTCTCTTCCTGAGTCTCATTTTCTTTTTTCCTTTTTTTTTATCCTCACCCGAGGACATTTTTGCATTTATCTTCAGACAGAGTGGGAGGGAGAGAGGGAGAAAGAGGGAGAGAAACATCGATGTGAGAGAGACGCATCAACTGGCTGCCATCCGCACAACCCCAACCGGGGCCGGGGACAAACCGCAACCGAGGTACATGCCCTTAGCAGAAACCGAACCTGGGACTCTCCGGTCCGTGGGCCGAAGCTCCAACCGCTGAGCCAAACTGGCCAGGGCTCATTTTCTTCATTGGTGCAGTAAGATTGGATTGACTGATCCCAGAGACGCCTTCCACAGCTGACGTTCCGATTCACGCGTTCATTCTAATGGTAACTGGTGCCAGCACTGGGTTCTGGGCATCTTCCTTTGGGCCATTCTAAAGCTGCTGTAAGCGTGGCCTCGTGCCTAATGAGGGCTGCCAATACCAGCTGCCCGGCTCCTTGTTTCAATAGCCACGGGGAAGGAAAACTGCCCTGCCAGCCCAGCCATGGCAAGAGAACCCTACACGGACCCTTCCCAGTACCTTTCCATGAAAACAAAACAGTGTTGCCCCTTCTCCTGGAAAGAGCATGACCATCTCGCACCCTCCTAATCAAAACTCTTTTGATTTTTTTCCATTGCTTTTACAAAAATATTGTATTCGTTTCTAAGTATTCAATTGCGATGCTGAATATGCTTTGCTTTTCAAATTGCACATACACCTCAGATTTCAGTACAGCCTCCTAGGGGAAATGGGCGGGGGGGGGGGGGCTAGACACACACACACATACTCACACACCAATCCTAAGGCTGGAAGGTCCAGCCCCATCCCTACCTAAGTCACCAGTAATGACCGTCCAGTCTGAACACCTGGGAGGCCGCTGTGGGAAGTGCTGCGTCCCTCCACTACTTACTACGGCGAGAACCCTAACCTCTGTGAACGTCAGAGGTTTGCGCGAGGATTTCATCCTGCTGATCTCGCTCCAAAGCGCTGTGCAAACGGAAGTTACTTGATTGTTGGGCGGCTCTGACTCTAAAACTGCATCCTCAGATCGCACCCAATCCTGCCTCCCCACAGCTTTTCTTGCTGATGCTGGTGAGGTGGGAGGCGAGAAGGGGCTTCTGGCTCGGGGGATTAAAAGCTGGGAGGTGGGTGCGTGAACCACGGGGCATTCCCCCATCGCTATAGCTACCCAGTCCTTGGTAAGTCTCACCACTGAGGCAAGGGAGCCCCAGGCCTGGTCACCTGTTCAAGCCCAGGGCACAGAGCTCAGGCGAAGGCGGCCTCAGCAGCCGCCCCTCCCCGGCTCTTCTCTCCCCTACTTCCCCCTCCCCGCCCGGCTGCGCGGGCCAGGGCACGCCCCTCCCCCAGTTTCACCAATCAACGTCCTGAGCGGCACCCGTGGCACTGGGGGGAGCGAGGGGCTCTGGTTGGCAGCCAATTAGCGCCGGGGCCCGTGGAGGCGCCTCGCGCGCCCCCTCCCAGAATGAAAGCCACCCCGCAGCTGGCGAGGCTGGCGCAGCGCGCTGAGCTCCAGAGCTGCGCGGCACGAAGCGGAGATCGCGCACTGCCCGCCCGCCCCCGGCGCGCCCGCCTCCGCTCCGCCTCCGTCCGGGGCGCGGGCGAGGTGGCCGGGGCGGGAGAGCGCGGGGGGCAGGACCGCGGCGGCGAGGCCCGGGGGCGGGGAGGAGCGGGGCCTGATAAAAGGCGGCAAGGCGGCCCCACCCCCGCGACAGGCCGGCGGGCAAGCTCCGCGCGTCCCTTCCGTCCGGCCCGCGCCGGCGGCGGGGAGGCGGCGCGCGCGGCCCGCAGCCCGCCCATGGAGGCTTTCCCCTGGGCGCCCCACTCGCCCCGCCGCGGCCGCGCCCCCCCGCCCATGGCGCTGGTGCCCAGCGCCCGCTACGTGAGCGCCCAGGGCCCCGCGCACCCGCAGCCCTTCAGCTCGTGGAACGACTATCTGGGGCTGGCCACGCTCATCACGAAGGCGGTGGACGGGGAGCAGCGCTTCGGCTGCGCCCGCGGCGGAGACAGAGACGGCGGCGGCGGCTCCCCGCCCTCCTCTTCCTCCTCGTCCTGCTGCTCCCCCCACGCGGGAACCGGGCCTGGCGCGCTGGGGCCGGCGCTGGGGCCGCCGGACTACGAAGAGGACGACGAGGACAGTGACGACCCGGGGTCCCGGGCCCGCTACCTGGGGGGCGCGCTGGAGCTGTGCGCGGGCCCCGCGGAGGCCGGGCTGCTGGAGGAGCGCTTCGCCGAGCTGAGCCCGTTCGCCGGTCGCGCCGCCGCCGTGCTGCTGGGCTGCGCGCCCGCCGTTGCCGCCGCCGAGGTGGCGCCGCGCGAGGAGCGGGCCCCGGCGTGGGCGGCCGAGCCCCGGCTGCACGCAGGCTCCGGGGCGGCCGCCGCCCGGCTGCTCAAGCCCGAGCTGCAGGTGTGTGTGTTTTGCCGGAACAACAAGGAGGCGGTGGCGCTCTACACCACCCACATCCTGAAGGGACCCGACGGGCGAGTGCTGTGCCCGGTGCTGCGCCGCTACACATGTCCCCTGTGCGGCGCCAGCGGCGACAACGCGCACACCATCAAGTACTGCCCGCTCTCCAAAGTGCCGCCGCCGCCTGCAGCGCGGCCGCCACCGCGCAGCACCAGGGACAGCCTGCCAGGCAAGAAGCTGCGCTGAGCCGGCCTGCCGCCGCGAGGGGCACCGCCTGGCGACTCTCGTCTTCGGTCTGCGCACCGTCTCTCCTCGCCGCTGGGGAGGCGTGGAGCTCGGCACAGGGTTCGGCCTGGGATGGCGTCTCTCGAAGCAAGCCGGCCATTCGGAGTCCTGTGGTTGCGACAAGACGCTAGCACCTTGAGTTCTCTCTCGTTTCGAGTTTGTGCACATCCGGACGGTGAAGGGTGTATCCCACTGACTGATGTGGCAACTAAATTAGAGGCGCTGTTTATTTACTGTATACGTCGACCTATTTTAGATGCGCATCGGTATGAAATTATCAATCTAATCTTGGATATTTAATTGTATTATTGGAGGCACTTTACTAGGTCTAGAATATTTTTTTAAAAGCCTCTTAATTGAACCTAAGACTGGCGATTTTATGGAATGTCAGCAAAATGACTTTTATTGTTTGAAGCAGTATTTCTTCGTTGTCCTTAATCAGTTATTCCAATTCCAGGTGAAGCAAGCCCCTGGTTGCATCAGTTTTGAGAAGTGAAGGTTTGTTGAGTAAACTTTCCAGTATTAATTTGGGTGGGTATTCCCCTTGTGGCTTCTGTCCTAGCTGGAGGTGTAAAAATGCACAATCTGTAGCAGGTAGAATACAGCTCCTTATTCTTTCATGTATCAGATCTTTTATTACTAAATTAGCAACTAGCATTTTTCCACCTTAAAAATTGTGCCGTTATAATCATATTGTGTATACACTTGGAAATGGTGCTGTTTAAAAAAATTGACTTGTGTATTTATACAGTAACAGTATATGAATTAATCTTGCCTATAATTTTGCTACTTGACTTGTCTATGCACCTACCCCACCCCCATTTCCAGTTCTTTAAAAACACTTCTGATACCAAGATCAAGAAGAATTGATCCTGAAGTCACTCAATTTCAGGGTTCCCAAATAGTTGAAAGCTCATACCAGCTGTTGCTGCTTAAACTAAATGGAAGATGAAATCTACACTCTGGAAGGTTAATGTAACTGGTGCTCAAGAAGGTTCCACTCTGGGCTGTCTGGCTTCAGGCAGTTCTCAAACCAAAATAAGCACTAATTACGGATTTGAGGGTTGGAGACAACGACCTCCCAATGTTCCGATTCTCACTGGAAGACCCCAGTCTGTTTCTGGAACCCCACCAGTTATCCATAAATAAGGTTAAACCTGATCCCTAAGCAAAGGTTCCTAACCACTACTTGAACTCCCACCCTCATTTTTAAACCCACCAAGTTGAATGCCGCACCATGACATGTAGCTATCAAGACAGGAGGCAAAAATGGAAATAAAAACGAGTTCACCTGAAACAAAAAATGTGTAACTATGAAAACACCAGCAAGAGATTTCGTCTATATAAAAATTCCAGTAGATGAGTTTAACTAGGTTGTTAGAGGTTAGACTGCTTTCATATTAGCTAACTTCTTCCAAATTGGCTTGAGCACTACTTTGAAAGTGGAATAGAGGCTGCGGTAAAGAACATCGAATGGCTTGTGAGCAAGCCCCTTCGGGGAAGGTACATCCAAACAAGGGCGAGGGGTGGGAGACCAGAATACCATTTCTTAGCGAGGAAAACCACTCCCACTAATCGAGCCCCAGGCCCTACAACTCCAGATTTGACTGGGCTTAAACTCAAGTTTTATCAACGCCATGTAATTCCTCTTTTGTTTTGCTAGAAAAATGTATCAGCTTAAATTAGTTGTGCTTTTGGGGTAGGTTTCGGGTCCATATGAATTCCTGTAACCCCTCCCACTGCTGCTCTACTTTGCAAGTCACTGTAATATAAACAATTCAGTGCATTCTTCAGGCCAGAAGGAGTAGGCAGGGAGCTACTTACATTTTAAAAAAGAGCCAAATTTGTCCAGCCATTGTGGCTCAGTGGTTGAGCATTGACCCCATGCATCAAGAGGTCACAGGTTCGCCCCTGGCCAGTTTGGCTCAGCGTTTAGAGCATCGGCCTGTGGACCAGAGACCTGGGTTCAGTGTCCGCAAAAGGCACGCACCTCAGTTGCAGTTTGTCCCTGGCCCCAGTTGGGGTTGTCTGGGTGTCTCTCTTCCTCTCTCCCTCCCGTTCTACCTGAAGATAAATGTGAGGTCACAGGTTCCATTCCTAGTCAGGGCACATGCCCAGGTTGTAGACCAAATCCCCAGTCGGGGGGCATGCAGGAGGCGGCCAATCGATGTTCTCTATCTCCCTCTCCCTTCCTCTAAAATCAATAAAGAAAAAAAAATTTTTTTAAATGAGCCAAATCAGTTTCCAGGTCCTAGGCATGTGGCTTAAATATATCTTCAGTATGCAAATCTCTTGGTGGGATGTGCCTAACTGGAAACACATTGAACGTGGAGTTTGTCCTAATATCAGGAGAGTATTGGGAAAGGTATCCAGAAGACCCTCACAACTAGTTCAGCCATCATTATGTTAATCCATTTAAAACACCCCATTATCACTGCCCCATGTTGCCTACTTTTCCAGCTAACATTAAAATATTGACTTATATGAACACAGACTATACTACTACTACCATTAATTTTCTAAAGATCTCTTATGAAAACTACACTAGCCACACTCCAATACTTTTTTTTTTTTTTATCCTCACTCGAGGACATTTTTCCATTTTTTGTTCAGATAGCGCGGGAGGGAGAGAGAGGAAGAGAGAGAGAAACATCGACGTGAAGAGACACATCGAGTGGCTGCTACCCGCACGACCAACCAGGGCCGGGGACAAACTGCAGCTGAGGTATGTGCCCTTAGCAGGAACCGAACCCGGGTCTCTCTGTACCGCAGGCCGACACTCCAACCGCTGAGCCAAACTGGCCAGGGCTCCAATACTTTTAAAATCAACATTCCAAGTCTTCAAATTTTCAAAAATACATGTGTGAAAAAATTATTTTCCTGCCCGGCCAATGTGGCTCAGTGGATTGAGCATCATCCCATGGAGTGAAGGGTCTCAGTTCAGTTCGATTCCTCATCAGGACACATGCCCTGGTTGCGGGCTCAATCCCCAGTAGGGGGCATACAAGAGACAGCTGATCAATGTTTCTCACATTGATGTTTCTATCTCCCTCTCTCTAAAAAATAAAAACATTAAAAAAAATTATACCACAAATATATGTACTGGAAAGAAAAGTTTTTAGTCCTAATTTTCTAGTCTGTTCTTAGCCACAACATGAGAAACATACCTTCCATAGTATCCCATGTGTCCGTTAGCCTTGTAAAATTATAGCTCTAGTCAAAATGGTCAAAGACAAAGCACAGGTAGTCCTTGACATAAAAAGACCCTGCACATAAGAGGCCTACTTCCTCTTGGTAGCAACTATGGACTACTAAATGGGATTGTATTTTGGCCACTGTATTAACAGTAATAGTATTCTCGTTTGTTAAAATGCAGTAGCCACTGGGAACATGTAAGATTTCTCTACACATTACTAAGTTGTTCAGCTTTGACACTTGTGGGAGAGAAAAGTGTGTGTGTGGGGGGGGGGGCGGGGGCGGGGCAGAGAGTGTAAGGCACTGGATCACAAAACCAGCAGTGACTTCCACCTTCATCCTGCTTTGGATTCTGACTACCAAGACAAAGCTTGGGAGAATAGTAAGGCTGGGAAAGGGTCCTGACAGAAAGGGTGGGCTTGCTGACTAGCCCAGACACCTAATGCATCTGTAACTCATCTAAACAACTCCGCTTAAATGAATCATCTATTGGGGCCTGCAATGTCAGTACAGCCCGGCTTTAATAACTTGAAGACTCAGAGCAGGTTACCAACTTCTTTTACTTGTTACAAAAGAAAAGGCCTTCTCCTCATAAAAAATCTTTTAAAGACATCTACTTGTTTAGAAAGCTAAATGTTTAAAAAGTGGTTTCCATCCCTGGGAACATCAAACAGAAAAGGCTGTATCTGATACCATTTAAGTAAAAAAGCATCAATACTCCCTCTTCTGGCCTTAGAGCTGTACCAACAGGAATTCTCACCACTACTCATTTTCAGAAATAATTAAAGTGCCTACAGCCAATATAAAGTTGCAACTAACTTCCGTGGAATTACGATTTTTCTCATTTCAATATGGTACACCTCCCCCGCCCCCATGCATATAAACTCACAGAGACCACAACATTACAAAGAAACTACGGGGGTCCACAATAATGAAGGAGGACATCTTAGGGGAAACCTAGCCCCATTTGCTTTACAGTATACTTAGGTTATTTGCTTCCATACTAAATACTAAGACATTTTAATGGCATAGTTAAAACAAGCTCAACTGAATATGCAAATTAACCATTATAAACTAAACACTTTAAATATTACCACAAATCAACACAAAAACAAACTCTGTAAGTATTTTATTTATCATTAAAGAAAAAACACAGCAGCAAGTTCTGTGTTGGCTTCAATAAGACCAAATAGTTAATCTTGAACACAGCAACTACACTCCAGGATTGAAGTCAACACAGTCGTTACTACAAATTACTTGTTGAAAGAATCTATCCTGAAGAGAAATGAAATTAAGAAAAAGAATTTAAACAATTCCTCTGAACCACACATTTATAAATATTGTCATATTTAAAATGCTCGAAAGGTATGAATTCCCCATTAATGGAAAAGCAGTTTGCTATTGGCAACAGAAAAAAATTCAGCAAAAGTTTAGCAAATGCTTTAAAATTTGAAAGCTGTAATGTAACTGTTTTGGATTCACACTTGAGCAGTATTGTCATTATAATAATGACTGCAGATTGCCTTATACTCACCTTTTTTCAAGTAAAATCTACAGAAAATCCCACTGTATCCAATGTGTATGTTTACTGCACTTACAGTGAACGTAAAAACTTTTTAAATATTTAGTTGAGAGGTATGTCTCAACTGTTAATGGTGTGAAAATTGTTTCAGCTCCCTGCTAACAGTCTTGAAATACATTTTCTATAACAGAACCTTACCTCATTCCAAATTAATATCAGATATTTCAAATTCAAAAGGAAAAAA